TTTGTACTGGACATCAATTAATCGAGAGATTAGACTGCATATCATAGAAACATATGAATCTATAGTTTTGCTTGTCTACGAACATCACACAACAAGATACATTACAATTAAAAAAAAAAAAAAGAATTTAACGATATATTGTTATTGATTACATGTTAAATAGTTCGAAACAGAAAGATACTTGAATCAAATAAAAACAACCAATACTACTTGTGTTCACTGACTATGTAGTTTTGATTTGGGCTCTAATTCAAAATTTAATTTTTTAAACGCAACTCACAACATATTACTGCTTTACATATTTACAGACACATTTCAAAGAAAAAAAAAGCTACATGTGGTTGGGATTGCTCGACAAATTTATTCTCTTCAAAGAGGAGTCAATAATTACCATATTTATGTACCTCTTTGCACTATTATTGTTTGGAGTCTGTCTTCTTCGTGCCGTCTCATGGTTGTACGTCGAGGAGTTTCCTAATTTTCAATCTTTGGCTTCACTTCTCCACTGATGGTGCGGAATGACGTGATTGCTTATTCTTCGCTGAGCCCATTGATAGACGATGATTAGGGGTTTCTGTGAGAGTGTGTCTATAACTAGTGAGTGATGTGCAATCGATCAATCTATAAATTATTAGGAAGGTGATGTTCAATGGAAATAGCTACAATGGAAGTTTTATATAGATGGTTTGCCCACGAATTTTTATTCGAGCAAGACTTTCAATTGATCTTGAGTGATACATATAATTTTTCAGACTTTGAATCCTCTATTGAAAATCATAATGATACAGAAGAATGTAAGAAGATTGATAGAATCGATGCTAGAGAAAATTGAATTAGGAATAATATGGGGATTGAATATAGTAGATGAAATTTGGACAAAAATTCAGTGCTCTAAATTGGGGATTTTGTCATGGACATGGAGAATGACGTGTTTGAATATGGGGATATTAAGCCTATGCTGTTAAAAGATTGGAGTTAATTTCTATGATTAATTTAAATTATATTAAGCCCATGTTTGGTGTGGGGGTGTTAAAATTAAATTTTTAGTAGATTTTGATACATGTTAGGGTTTGTTTGATTGCAAGCATGAAATTGGATGAAAAGAAAATAAGTTATAGACGATCAATTTATTTGCATGGAAATTATT